ACCCCACGCCACCTGTATTGCTGAGAAAGATGATCCCTGCGAACCCTACCTTTCATCACCCCGCATACTACAATGTGTGGAGGTACTGGTATCTGGGTCTTCCATTCCCTGTTGGAATCTTCCATCTCCACTCCGCCACATCCAAGGGAAGATCTTGAATTGGCACCTCCGACCAGAATGCCACCCAAGATTCGTTTGCACTTAGGACTCTTATTCTGTGAAGTGTCTTGACGTCGATCCATAAGACTTCATCTGGCACCCCCCTGATCAAGTGATTCAACTGTGTTCGATAAAACAGGTTTACCAACACCTCCCCTGGTCTAACTGTTAGTACTTGCCCCTCCCATGTTGCATCCCCTCTTAGTACCACCCAGTCTCCTTCCTCTACAATTGGTCCCCGCTGAAGAGTCCGCACCCATGCTAGCGGGAGAGCAAAGAGGATCTGGTCTAGCCTTTCCCCTATTCGGTGGCAATGGGGGAGCTTCTTTCTCAGCTGCTCCTCTGAGAGCCAGTCATTCTTTGATTGGTCCCATAGGTGTCCAACTCTTGTGATCCCGTTCTTCACCCATCCATTCCACGGGCGACATGAACTGAGTAACACTCGGCCATGCCGATCCGTTATCCAGCGATTCCCGAAAAGTGGTTGGCGAGCAACTTCTTCCCACCTGTCAGGAAACGGCCTATCCGGGAGTGGGAGCCTCCGCCAGTCTCTAATTAACTTAGCCCAGAAGTCATTTTTTCGCAGGTCCTGGCGGGCTGCCGCACAATCTGAGTGTGGGTGGGGCCTGGAGGGGGGCCTGGGGATTGTCCAGAAGACGTCATCTAACCAGGCAATGGGATGTGTTGATGGTGCAGTCACCGGGGCCAACCTCGATACTTGTTCCCAAGCAAGAGGTTCCCTCGTGAGGCCAGGGCGATTCCCGAAAAGTGGTTGGCGAGCAACTTCCTCCCACCTGTCAAGAAATGGCCTATCCGGGAATGGGAGCCTCCGCCAGTCTTTAATTAACTTAGCCCAGAAGTCATTTTTTCACAGGTCCTGGCGGGCTGCCGCACAATCTGAGTGTGGGTGGGGCCTGGAGGGGGGCCTGGGGATTGTCCAGAAGACGTCATCTGACCAGGCAATGGGATGTGTTGATGGTGCAGTCAACGGGGCCAACCTCGATACTTGTTCCCAAGCAAGAGGTTCCCTAGTGAGGCCAGGGGTGCAGATAAGTCGTTTCAACCATTGGAGAGAAAGTGTGGTCGTTTGGGTAGCAGGGTCGAGTATGCCCAGGCCTCCTTGTGGCCTTGGTTGCACCACCGTATCCCAGGCCACGCGACTGATGGTGTGTTGGGGTTCGTGGTTACGTCTCCACAGGAAGGCTGCCACCTGTTGCTTCAGGGTCTTCGACGTCGTTCCGGAAAGGGGCCAGATTGCTGACTTGTACCAGATTGACGCCAAAACCACATTGTTTATAACCAGGACCCTGCCCATGAGTGACGTATGCTTGTCTTTCCAGGTTCCCAACTTTTGCAGGGCCGGGTGCATTGTCCAATTATTGTTACTAGTTGGCTTTCCTTTGGCCGAGAGTGGGATTCCTAGAACCCTAATGGGGGTTTCTAGGGGGAGCCATGTCACCTTGGGTTGCTCTGGAGGTCTTCCACCGTCATGATGCATCCACCATCCCAATGTCTTGTTGCCCCAGTTAATTGCCATATACCCTGACTTACACCTGATGAAGAGGCCTGGGACATTGCAGAGGAGGAAGCCATGGCTGCCCCGCTTCAGCCCTAGCGTGTGCTGACGCAACAGTTGCTAATGATCTCTCTGCCTTGGCTGCTGCCTCCAAAGCCCTTTGCGGTTGTCTCCTCCTCTCAGCTTCTTTCCGCAGTCTCCTTTCCTCTTCTGGCTCTAACACCAGAAAAGTGGCTGGCCGACTAAGTGATTCCCTACGGATAAGCCTCCTATCATCCTGGTCTAGTCTCTCAACCTCTGTGTCATCCTCACTCATGAGCAACGTGTGGCATGCAATCTGCACTAGTGTCCTCACGGGGACCTTCCGCAGTGTGGCATCCAACTGATTTTTAAAATAAATCAAATAAAATAATTATTCAGTCCAGATATGACAGCAAGTAGTCAAGTGGTAACAGCAGAGTAGTTCAGACCCCTACAAACAATTCTACACCTTTTTATGACTAGTCTCGGAAAGATTGCATTGCAGCAAAGAATAATATACTACTCTACCTGCAACAGTCCATCAATTATCAGCAGTGTCCATAACAACTAACTAATCAAAAATAAAAATAATCATTCGCTGGAATGCATGCCAAATGGAAACAATGCAACGATTTACAATCGAGCAGTTAACTGGAATCCTCCCTCCCCCTCGATCTTTCTTGAGTGTCACTTTGTGTCGACGTCCTGAAAGCTCTGGTTGAGCAGCATGTCTAAAGGTGTGCATACTGCCCACCCCTGTGCCCCAAGTCGATGTCAAACCGACCCCATCCCAGTCCGGTACTCGTCTCTCCCCCGTAGGGCTGGCCTGCCCAACATGACCTCTTGTTACCTGTTGCGCCTGCAACAGGCTGCACGGGCCATTTTCAGGCCCGTGACGTTTTCAGCCCGAAAGCCTGAAAACAAGGGCCTACAGGCCCTGTGTCGTTTCATCCTAAAAGCCTGAAAACAAGGGCCTACAGGCCATGTGTCATTTCAGCCTAAAACAGGGCCTTTCCGGCCCTGAGTCTTTTCAGCCTGAAACGGAGGGACATTTTCAGGCCCTCGTGAGATCGACCTGCCTTGAAAATCAGGCACCAGACCAGGGTTTTCGCACAGACCATTTTGGGCCTGTTTTCAACACAACCCTTGGTTGAGCTTCAACGCCAGGGTCTGGCACGTTTCGGCATTGGCAAGAGCAGCCTCCTGGACGGGCCAGCACTATATAGGACTGGCCCGCCCTGCAGGCTGCAGGTAGTTCCTAGGTACTTCCCAGGCATTTCACGTGCAGTTCAGGAGGCAGGAGGTAGTCTTCAGGAGTCGGCAGCAGCACTCTGGAGGAGCGCTGCAGGAGTAGTGGCAGCGCTAGCAGTAGTCTTCAGCGCTGGGCGCTAGTAGCGTTAGCAGTAGTCTTCAGCGCTGGGTGCTAGTAGGAGCTAGAGTAATACCGGAGAGAGAGAGAGATTGGGCGGAGGCCAGGGAGACTTACCTGCAGCGCCATACCTCCAGCTTCGTCTTCGAGGTACCTGCAGCACAGCGCCATCTTCACAGGTTAGTACCTGGCACATGAGAGAGAGAGAGAGAGAGAGAGAGAGAGANTCACCCTCTCGCTACCTGACTTCACTGCATCAGCAGACTACGAGAGAGCGGGATTGGTGGCATTTGGATCCAGACTCGACATTGGGCTTCAGACATTTTGACGGGGGATTATTTGGGACTTGTAACGAAGAATTGGTGTTGACGACATTCCCATTTCCCCCCCCTCTTCTTCGTCTGATTCCCTCCTCTTCGTCTGTGCATGATTTGGACCTGGCGCATTCTTCCTGTGTGTAGCGCCAGGCCCCTTCACACCTTGTGATGAGAATGATGTATGTCTGGTCTGCGTTGCGACATTGATTGGGTTAGTCATTGGTATTCCAGCATTCTGCTGCGCTGTCTTGCACTACGTGATAGAGGTCAGTCCCGGTCAGGTCAGGACTTGTATCTAAGTCTTCTACTGCTATAAGGCACCATTTTTTTATGTATCAGGATGTACACTGCTGGTTGAGATTTCACTAGCACTGCATTGTCCATTCAGTCCTTTCTATCATATTGTGGATCCTCGGTTATATATGTACATCGCCCAAACTGGGCATGTAACAGTTGATATTGGAACACAGCACGTGAATCAGGACAACATGATCTAACACGTGTGCGGGGACTAAGTAGCGGATTAGTCTTGATTGATTGATTAGAGCACACTAGCTAGCCCCCAAAATCACGATTTTGACCTCACTGCCGAAAATCAAAAAAAAAAAAATTCTTGGATTTTGTTTTTCTCGCTATTTCTGTTGTGGAAAATCGCAATAGCGCAACACCTGAAATTTCCGTTTTCGTTTTTCTTCTGAAAATTCGAAATTTCATTGTTGGAAATCCGGAATATCTTTTTTTTGAAAATTTCGATTTCGTTTTGCAATTTCCTGTTATTTGGAAATCCGGAATATTTTTTTCCAAAATTCGCTTTTCGTGATTTGAAAACGGTACGGGAAATCCCTCTTGCAGTTATCATTTTCCAAACTGCGTGTACTCTCATCTGAGTAATTACTTTATTTTCGGAATTCTCTTATTGGACGATCATTTGCAGTCTGAAAGTTCAAAATTTTTTCCTCAAGGTAATTTCCCACTACAGGGGGAATTGGGAGGGCTACCAAACTTGCAAACGAGTATTTTTTTCTTTTTTTCGATTTTTTTTTGCAAAGTTCAACCTTCTCTTTTTTTATTACTGGCTCCTTATCTGGGCGATTTATCCCACCCACCCCTCCCCACCTATGTTGTTGCCCCCTCCGGTCTTATTTTCTCTATCTGTCTCCGGGTATCCCCTGCGGCGGCATTGGTGAGTTGCCACGTCAGTAGGCCCGTCAGCAGACCACGTCAGCAGGCCACGTCAACAGACCACGTCAGCAGGCCATGTCAGCAGGACACGTCAGCCGACAGCAATGCCACGTCAGCAGCAAGGAGTACCATGTCAGCAGGCCCCCGGCCTGGTCTATGCTCACGCGCTTGCAAACAGCCGTCGTGGATCAGAAGTCCGGGGAAACGAACGAGGCCTATCAGGCCCGGATGCTGCTTTTGATTACCGAAGCCAAGCAACGGTCGGATGCAAGCAGCCGCAACAAAGAAGAAGGCAGAGGACGCCGAGAAGGCACATCTGTTGGCAATCGAACAGCAGCGCCAGCAAGACGAGGCAGCAACAAAGGCTGCCAATGAAGAACGAATTCAACGACGCGAAAAGATATTCAGCGGAGACCGAGCTTTGCTCACAATGGCAACAGACTGGCGGCCGAGGCCGAGAATAGTAAGATGGAAAAGAGTGAAAGCAAGATCGCTCTACTCCTCTCCCATCTCACGGATCTCCTGGCAACATGCATTACACAGCAGGAGGATATCCACAGCCTCGACGACGCGTTAGCTCAAGTCAGCAGCCGCCTCCAACAGCTGGAGCAACGAACCGTCACCGCCCCCAATGCCAGCTCCTCCAACACCCCCGATCGCCTTAATGCATTGGAGATCGACATCGGAGCCCTCAAGGATGAGACGCAGCTACAGCAAACCGCCACGCAACAACTGGAGCAGCGGATCTGTGCTGCCACTGCCAACCCAAGTTCGACACTGCGCGAGACGACTCCAAGGTTCGACGATCAGGAGATCTTCTGCGATTCGATGAAGACGGACCCGATTCCATGGTTCCGCAAGTTCGAGCTCAAGTTGCAGCTACACCACGTCAGCGAGGAGAAGCATCATGCGTGTTCATACTCCCGGTCGGGAGGTGCGTTCCAAGCATCGTTGAACAATCTCTTGTCCAAGTACGGGGTGGTAGCTGCCGACTTGTACACCAAGATCAGCTAGGATGATCTAAAGGCAGCGTGGCATAAGCGGTTCCAAGTAGAGTCGTCGGAGGTCAAGGCAATGGACAAGCTGATGACCTTCAAACAAGGCACGCTATCGAGTGTTGGCTGGATTGTTGAGTACGAACGCTTGACATCCGTCCCAGACATTCAGATGGGCTTCAAGGCTGTCAAACACTACTTCAAGGCCGTCAAATACGCCTTGACTCACGCCGAGGACACCCTGACGACAACAACGAAGCTCTTCGACAAGGCGGCGCAGATCATTGTCACGAACAAGGAGGCTAAGAACCTCCACCGTTCATCTGCGGCAGGCCTGAGCAGAGATCAGCATCGGCCGAAAGTGGCCGTGGTAGCGGCGGCAACGCCAACCGACCAAACTAGTGAGGCCGTGTCTGCCAATGAAGGGGACAGACTCGCAACTGCCCGGGATGGTGGCCGCGTCAACAAAGGCCGAGGACGCGGCAAGACAAAGACAAACACCACATCTATCCCCAGGCCCGGAGCAGCAGCTCCAGCCTCATGGTCCCACTACGGTCTCTCCAAACAGGCGTACAAGGCACGCATGAGATTCCGCTATTGTTTGTGGTGTAACAACGATCTCCACGAGACAGTGGGATGCCCGTCGAAAGGCAAAGGCAAATCGGGAAACTGAGCACCGCCAGGAGGAAGTCGACACTCTCGACGCCTTCGGAACCGGTCGCTTCGCGGGGGACCGCCCTTCATTTTGAGGCACACGCGGAAGTCGATAGTCCTCCTCTTCTATATTCTTATGAGGACTATGCTGCCCGGCTCGTTCCTACGTTGGGTACTCATACTCAAGGACAAGACGTGTGTGCGGCATCTTCTCCGTCCGACAGCGGTGACTTATCGTCTTCAAGTGGTTCTTCACGGGATTCGGCTCGCGATTCAACATAGAGGTATTGGACCCGCTCACGTTCGAGGATTTCACATGGCTTCCTCTCCTGACCACGGGCTGCTTGCCGGGACCACAATGCGCAGCATTATGCGCTCATCTTCACACGTACTTATCCTTCTATGCACCACCAACTTGGCCAACGGATGACGAAGTCGTGGTGGGGGACATCCTTGCGTATGTTACCAAGGTGGCCCGCGAGTTTCGCAAGCAGCGGTACGATGACAACAACGCACCGCTCGTCTATGTCCGCATCCAAGTTGGGCAAGCGTCCTGCAGCGCTTTGCTGGATAGCGGCGCGTCTCACAATTTCATGAGCCAAGCCTTTATGCGAAGGGCTGGCCTTGGCACACAAGTTCGGAAGAAGGCAAACCCGACGACGATCAAGTTGGCGGACGAAAGGACGCAGCAACTTATTGACCGCTACATCGAGGCCGTACCGGTGTATTTCGCACCTCATGCATGCGAACCGGTGACGTTCGAAATTTTGAACACAGACTTCGACATTATTTTGGGAATGCCTTGGCTTGCAAGTGCGGATCACACGGTCAACTTCCACCTGCGGACTCTTACCGCCCGGGGCGCCTTCGGCACCAAAGTGTCGTGTACTATTCCTCTTCCGCACCCTTCGATTCGGTGCCAAGTGGTGACGGCCAAGTCGTTCTGGGCTACTTGCGCTTACGAGCAGCCCGACGAGATAGACCTATGTTTCCTATGGACCATTGCAGGACTCTCTTCACCCACGGACTTGTTTTCGGACCCCCGTATGGTGCGGTTGCAGCCGGGTTGCTTGACGAGTTCACCGACATCTTTGAGTCACCTACCGGTGTGGTGCCGGATCGGCCGATCTCTCACGAGATCATTCTTGAGGCCGGTGTCGTGCTGCCAAAAGGTTGCATTTATCGCATGAGCGAGGAGGAGATTACGATCCTCCGCGCGAAACTCGATGACTTGTTGGACAAGGGTTGGATCCGCCCTAGTAGCTCCCCATACGGAGCACTAGTTCTCTTCATACAGAAGAAGGATCTACGATTGTGCATAGACTACCGCAAGCTCAACGCGCGAATCATCAAGAATGCGGGGCCTCTTTCTCGTACCGACGATCTTCTTGAACGATTGGGCGGCACAAAGTACTTTTTTAAGCTGGATTTGAAGTCGGGATATCATCAAATTTTGATCCGGCCGAACGATCGCTATAAATCGACGTTCAAAACGCGGTATGGGCATTGTGAATGGGTGGTCATGCCTTTTGGCCTCACCAACGCCCCGGCGACCTTTCAAGCGGCAATGACCAACGAGTTTCGTGCGATGTTGGACCGGTTCGTGCTGGTCTACTTAGACGACATTCTCGTCTATAGTCGGACATTGGAGGATCATCTTGAGCACCTTCGACGAGTGTTGGAGACGCTCCGCCGCGCCAAGTACAAGGCCAACCGCAACAAGTGCGAATTTGTCCGCAAGAGCTGGAATACTTGGACCATTTTGTCACACCGGAGGCCATCAGTCCGTTGTCAGACAAGATTCAAGCCATCCAAGAGTGGTCGGAGCCGCGGAACGTCACGGATGTTCGTTCGTTCCTTGGCCTTGCCGGTTACTACCAACGTTTTATCAAGGGATACTTGAAGATCGCGGCCCACTTGGCCAAGCTTCAATGCGAGGATCGACCGTTTGACTTCGGATAGGATGCGCGATAATCATTATTGGCTCTCAAAGCCGCGTTATTATCTGCGGAGATCTTGCGCATATACGACCCGTTATTGTCAACGCGCGTCACTACGGATGTGTCCGGCTATGGCAGTGGTGTCGTCCTCGAACAAGACGATGGCGTGGACTGGCACACGGCCGAGTACTTCAGCAAGAAAGTGCCCGCCGTGCACTCGATTGACGACGCACGGAAGGAATTATTGGCCTTCGTCCACGCGCTCAAGCGGTGGCGGCACTTCCTCCTTGGTCGAAGTCAATTCCGATGGGTAACGAACAACAATCCATTGGTTTTTTACAAGACCCAAGACACCATGAACAGCACCATCGCTCGATGGATGACTTTCATTGACCAGTTCGACTTCTTTTCCGATCACATTCCGGGAAAGTCGAACCGTTTTGCGGATGCTCTTTCACGGCGTCCGGATCATTATACCGCGGTCTATTCAACCTTCGAGATCGACAACGATCTGCGGGACAGCTTCATCCGCAGCTACCAAGCCGACCCCGAGTCCCGTGACAAGTATGTGAATTGCTCCTCTCCTAGTCCGGCGCCTTCTCACTATCGGATCCAAGAGGGGTACTTGTTTGTCCTCACATGGAGGAAGGACCTTCTTTGCGTACCGTGTGACTCTCACTTGCGTACACGGCTTCTTGGTGAGTTCCATGATGCTCCCGGCAACGGATACTTTGGAGTCAATTGCACGATTGGCCGACTTCGTGAGCGATTTTGGTGGTCCGGCCTTCTCGGCGACGTTACACGTATTGCGAGTCATGCGAGGTTTTCCGACGCTGCAAATCCCGCAACCATCGTCCGTATGGCGAGTTGCGTCCATTACCGGTCCCCTTGCGCCGAAGGGAAGCGATTGCCATGGACATTACCGGGCCATTCCCCAAGCACAACACCAGTGTGAATGGGATTCTCACGGTGGTCGACCGACTCACCAAGTTCGCCATGTTTTTGCCTTGCCGCTATCATGCCAAGGCACAGGAGTTGGCCGAGGTTCTTTACGCCGGTTGGATTCGAACCAAGGGTTACCCCAAGGAAATCGGCTGCGACCGCGACACTCGGTTCGTGTCCGACTTTTGGTTGGCGCTCATCAAACGATGGGGCTCATCTCTGAAGCCAAGTTCGGCTCGCCACCCCCAAACCGATGGCCAAACGGAGAGGGCGCATCAAACCGCACAGGTTCTTCTTCGCACTCTCATCCGTCCTGACCAAAAGGATTGGGTTGAGCGGCTGCCGGATGTCGAGTTGGCGTACAACTCGTCCATACACCCGGCTATCGGGATGTCGCCCTTCGAATTCGAGCACGGCTCACCGGTCACTTCTCCGTTGGACACAATCATTCCACGAACGGTCGAGAGCAACGACCATCTTCTTTTCTTGCGTCGGATGCAAGAACTACTTGTCAAGGCACGCGACCAGATGGCTAAGACGCAACAACGCATGAGCCAACAAGCCAATCGCCAACGTCTTCCTTACCCATTTCCGTGTCGACGATCTCGTCTGGGTTTCCGCCACGTAGTTCAACCGTGAACAAGATATCTCTTGCAAGCTCCTCCTGAAATGGATGGGGCCCTGGCCGATCGTGGCACCCGCTGGGGATGCACCCGAAGGACCTTCCTTCACCATTCAGGATCGCAAGACCCACCCTCTATGGACATTTTTCAAGAGGTCGGCGACATCATCTCCCAGCGACGCTACGGCGACAGGCCAACCGAGTACTTGGTACACTTTGCGTACTGCACTCACAAAGCTGACCGTTGGTTGACCCGCGCGGAACTCCAAGCAACAGCTCCGGATATTCTTGCACGCTACGAACGCAAGATGCAAGGCAAGCCGGTATCTTCGGCTTCACGTCACACCCCCGTCCAGGTTCCACCTTCAGATCGTCAGCTTTGCCCTCGACGCGGCTTGACTTCATAAGAAGGGGGGGGGTGTTACATGCTGCGCCTGCAACAGGCTGCACGGGCCATTTTCAGGCCTGTGACGTTTTCAGCCAGAAATCCTGAAAACAAGGGCCTACAAGCCTTGTGTCGTTTCAGCCTGAAAGCCTGAAAACAAGGGCCTACATGCACTGTGTCGTTTCAGCCTAAAACAACGCCTTTCCGACCCTGAGTCTTTTCAACCTGAAATGGAGGGCCATTTTCAGGCCCTCATGAGATCGACCTGCCCTGAAACTCAGGCACCAGACCAGGGTTTTAGGACAGGCCATTTTGGGCCTGTTTTCAAGACAACCCTTGGTTGAGCTTCAACGCCAGGGTCTGGCACGTTTCGACATTGGCAAGAGCAGCCTCCTGGTCGGGCCAGCGCCATATAGGACGGGCCCACCCTGCAGGTTGCAAGTAGTTCCTAGGTACTTCCCAGGTACTACACGTGCATTTCAGGAGGCAAGAGGTAGTCTTCAGGAGTCAGCAGCAACACTCTTGAGGAGCGCTGCAAAAGTAGTGGCAGCGCTAGCAGTAGTCTTCAGCACTGGGCGCTAGTAGCGTTAGCAGTAGTCTTCAGTGCTGGGTGTTAGTAGCGTTAGTAGTAGTCTTCAGCGCTGGGCGCTAGTAGGAGCTAGAGCAGTACCAGAGAGAGAGAGAGATTGGGCGGAGGCCAAGGAGACTTACCTGCGGCGCCATAGCTCCAGCTTTGTCTTCGAGGTGCATGCAGCACAGCGCCATCTTCACAAGTTAGTACCTGGCACATGAGAGAGAGAGAGAGAGAGAGAGAGAGAGAGAGAGAGAGAGAGAGAGAGAGAGAGAGAGAGAGTTCTTCTTCTTCCTCTTCTCAGTCCACCATGTTCCTCTCACCCTCTCGCTACTTGACTTCACTGCATCAGCAGACTACGAGAGAGCAGGATTGGTGACATTTGGATCCAGACTCGACATTGGGCTTCAGACATTTTGACGAGGGATTATTTGGGACTTGTAACGAAGACTTGGTGTTGACACATTTCCATCTCCCCCCCCTCTTCTTCGTCTGATTCCCTCCTCTTCGTATGTGCATGATTTGGACCTAGCGCATTCTTCCTGTGTGTAGCACCATGCCCCTTCACACCTTGTGATGAGAATGATGTATGTGTGGTCTGCGTTGCGACATTGATTGGGTTAGTCATTGGCATTCTAGCATTCTGTTGCACTCTCTTGCACTACGTGATAGAGGTCAGTCCCGGTCAGATCAGGACTTGTATCTAAGTCTTCCACTGCACTATAAGGCACCATTTTTTTATCTAAGTCTTACACTGCTGGTTGAGATTTCACTAGCACTGCATTGTCCATTCAGTCCTTTTTATCACATTTTGGATCCTCGGTTATATATGTACATCGCCCAAAATGGGCATGTAACACCTCTACAGCGCAGCAAAGCAGATCAAAGGACAAGCAACAAAGCATGCGTGCTCTACTCCCAGTGGGTTGACATGGTAACCGGGACCCAAGTGCTTCGTCCAAGGCCCTTCAGAGGCAACGCCCGTCTCCCACCAGCATGCTCCTCAGGAAGAATTTTGACTCTCAAGGTTGAGCGCGTACAGCACCTCACATTGAGAGGACTTTCAAGACAAGATTCAATTCCTCATGGTAAGAAGCAATGACGAGGGCAGATAACGTAAGGAGCAACATACCTCATAATGCTGCCCCCAACCACAAATTTCTAACCAGTTGACCTTACAGCTATTGTGTTGGAGCCAGCGGAGCGGCTCGAACCAGCACTGATACCAAATTGCGAGGGAAATGAGCAATAGCGAAATGACAGAATTCCAGGTTACAAAATCATATTGAAAGCCAAATAGTAGAAAATTGTCCAGAAAGCAGAAATGCATTGATGTCACACCAAATGAGAACCAAAGCAGCGAACCCAATTGTCAGTGAAAGCATACTCTCGCCACCACCAACAATGCAATCAAAATTATTCTCCCTTTCGGCGCTCAACGCCCAGACTACGATCCTACAATTAGTCTACTTGCCTACAAAAGGACGAAGCAAACAGTTGACGTCAGCAGCAGCAAGTGAAGTATATGCAGATGTCAACTATGCAGACCTCCGCCAAGACCAGGTACGTGCCCTCACACCACTCTCGACTCCCCATCTCCCTGCTCACCCTCGACTACCCCCACACTCCTCTGTCATCGTGGACCACCGCCTAACCCTGTTGACCATCCAAGCCCATGCCCGGCTATGGGGGCTGGGGTATGGTGCTGCCTGCTTGCAGTGCCCTCACTTGCGACCGTGCTCACCCTCCAGCACTAGGCAAACAACTAGCAGACCGCTCCAGCAGCGCTAGCAGCGCTGCCGCTCATACAGGCAAGTGCGCGAATGCTCATGCTCGGCTAAGCACTTTGCTATATGCAAAGTGGCCTGGCTTATTCGTTGCCTGGCCGGCCTCACGTGTGGCCGGTAGCTTCAGGTTGGGCCAAAGTGTTTGCGCCCAGGCGCATACGTATGGTGTTCCCTGCTTCCCCTGCGTTCTAAAAGACCCTAGAAGGCTCACAAATATTTCTGATTCTCACGAGTAAGGCGGATGTAACCAACTGGCGTGTGGCAACTGTCTGGCGCCCACCAGTGCAGCAGTGCTTTGCAAATTAGACAAATTCAAACCTAATTGAGATTCCTAGACCACCTTCATTTAGGGGGGCCCAGATGTTTGCAGAGGGGCCTTACGCAGGCATGTTGACGGCTAATATCCTCACATTCAGAAAATTTTGAAAGAGATTTAAGAAAGCAAGGTTATGGAGAATATTAATCTAAGCAACTTTTGCCTAGGGTTACAGTGAAATTCTTTAATACATTGATTAATATATATATAAATATACTATGCTTGACAACAGGGTTACCTGACCGAACGTTCTGGGGCCCCCGGGCTGGCCCCTGAACGTTCGGGCGTTCGGGGGCCGAACACCTCCAGATTCGGCCCCCGCCAAAAAATGTTTTGGGGCCTAAAAATAAGTGTTTTTTTCTGAATTTTTTTT